GCTAATTTTTTCTATATATTTTTAGTTGTCCGATTAATTTCTTTCTATTTTTAGTAGAGACCGGGTCTCGCTCTTGCTCAGGTTGGTTTCGAACTCCTGAGCTCAAACAATCTGCCCGCCTTGGCCTCCCAGAGAGCTAGGATTACAGGCGTGAGCTACTGCGCCCGGCCCATCAGCTATTCTTGACTCAGTAATTCCATATCTTGCCAACACTTGATCATGATAGATTTTTGAATTTTTGCAAACGTGCTAAGTGTGAAATGCTCTCGAAGTTATTTTAATTCACACCGTTCTGATTCCTGGTGGGGTTGGACACCTTTTCTCAAGTCGACTGGGCCGTTTGGGTTTCTGCTTATACTGCTGTTTAGAATATAAACTAGTAAGTGGGACTCTCCAGGAAAATAATCTGACAATACCCAGTACATTGAAGACGCATACGTCCTACAACCCGGCAAGTCTACTCCACGTGTTTACTGTATTTCTATTTTTAGTAGAGACGGGGTCTCGCTCTTGCTCAGGCTTATCTCGAACTCCTGAGCTCAAACAATCTGCCCGCCTCGGCCTCCCAGAATGCTAGGATTACAGGCGTGAGCCACCGCGCCTGGTCTAAAATGTCTTTTTAATCTCTTTTTTTGTCTTAAATTCAATGGAATCTGCTATTAGTAGTGCTGTCACTGCAATACTAATTGTTTGAGGGCGTCTTCATTTCTGAGAAGCCGTCTTTCTTACATATCTCTTAGTTTTTATTTTGTAGTGTTACCTTTGTCAAATTTTTGGTGTTTTGTTATGGTGTTTAGAAAATGAAGATTTTCTAAAAGAAAATTGCTTTCTTCTTCATGCCCTAGAACAATATAAATAAAATAGAAATTCTTTCCTTACAGAAATGAAAGAGTTTAGACCTAAAACCACCTGAGGCCCAGTGCTTGCTGTTTTCATAGTATTTTCCAAGGCTAATAGTTTTATTTTAGTTTCCATTTTCTCTTGAGTCAGTTTTGGTTAAAAAAAAATATGTATAATATAAATATATTTAAAATTATCCATCTTATCCAGATATTAATACTTAATAGCATATAACTGAAATATATTTTCAATACACTCTATGGTTTTTATAGTTAAATTTCCATTTAACATTGTAATACTGTGAATACATGTTGCCTTTTAAAATGTTCTTTTTCAGGAGTTTATATATTTTAACTGTCTATCCAAAGAACCAGTTCTTATATTTAAAAAAATTCAATTTGACAACTTTTATGAGCATTAATTAAATTTCTCTTTCTTCTCTATTAATGTTGACCTCAGGTATCATATATCGCTTTTTATCTAGCTTTCAAACTATTTATTTTCACATTTTTTGTTTTAGTAATAGAATCACCTAGGGCAGGTGTTCAAACAAGAGCCATTTTCCCACACAGGGGGCATTTGTCTGAAGACGTTTTGGGTTCTGACAACTGGGGGAAGGGGTGCTATTGGCATCTAGTGGGTAGCGGCCAGGGACGCCCCCCACCCCTCGTCCCCGCGACAAAGTATTATCTATCCTAAAATGTCAACAGTGCTGAGGTTGAGAAAGCCTGCTCTCTATATAACCATGATTTTTCCCCTAAAGAGAATTTTAGCTGCATCATATAAATATTTTAAAAATATTCTGCACTTAAGATTTGACTTTCTTTGTTATTTTAAAGTTATTTGGAAGAATGTGTTCATTTAGTGTGTTCATTAATTTGTTATTGTGAGGAGAGAATGTGACTCCTAGAATTTTATCTTTTTGGAATGTATTGAGGTTTTCGCTACAGCTTAGGATGTGATCAGTTTTTATAAAATTTTTGTGTACATCTGAAATAATATTTACTCCGTACCATACAAATTTCTCTATAGGTCTGTTCAAGAAACAGTTTTGACAACTTAAGCTGTGAAATCTCAAGAAAAATGAGTTCAAGCCTGCCATTCCTGTTGTGCTCCCCTTAGTTTGGCTATAAAATTTAAATAGGTTTTCTTCCTTACATTCATTCCTGACATAAAGTTAAATGTCCCAGAATGCTATATCTTCATTGTGGCTTTTCTTGTTCCTAAAAAAAAAATAAGCATCTTTGCCTTAATTAATATTTCTGTATTAAATCCTACTTTATCTTCTATCCTTATCACTTCAATTTTTCCACTGTTTTAGTTTTGTCCTGCATCATTTTAAGTGTAAACAGCAGATAGGTAGATTTTGGTTTCTAACCCCGTTCTTAATATATTATGGTGCATATTTTTTATTATACATTAATCATAAAGAGATCTAAGGAACAGACTTAAAGTGAACTGTTTTAAAGGATAGAAGATTTTAAAATCTGTTCTCTAAACATCCCTCTCTTCCCTCCCCGCATGCACACACTCGTCCTTCCCTAAGTCTTTTTTTTTTTTTTTTTTTTGAGACAGAGTCTCACTGTGTTGCCGGGGCTAGAGTGCCATGGCATCAGCCTAGCTCACAGCAACCTCAAACTCCTGGGCTCAAACAATCCTTCTGCCTCAGCCTCCCGAGTAGCTGGGACTACAGGCATGCGCCACCAAGCCCGGCTAATTTTTTCTATATATTTTTAGTTGTCCGATTAATTTCTTTCTATTTTTAGTAGAGACCGGGTCTCGCTCTTGCTCAGGTTGGTTTCGAACTCCTGAGCTCAAACAATCCACCCGCCTTGGCCTCCCAGAGAGCTAGGATTACAGGCGTGAGCTACTGCGCCCGGCCCATCAGCTATTCTTGACTCAGTAATTCCATATCTTGCCAACACTTGATCATGATAGATTTTTGAATTTTTGCAAACGTGCTAAGTGTGAAATGCTCTCGAAGTTATTTTAATTCACACCGTTCTGATTCCTGGTGGGGTTGGACACCTTTTCTCAAGTCGACTGGGCCGTTTGGGTTTCTGCTTATACTGCTGTTTAGAATATAAACTAGTAAGTGGGA